CCCTGATGGGACGAACCACGTGGTTGTGCACGTGCACACTTCCTGAGTGGGACTGTACTTTTAAGGCTTTGCTGCATCAGGAGCACCCTCCTGTTATCTACCTTCCTTTAGGACTTGGCAATGAGGTCTGACAGGGCGTTACCTGCTGCCTGCAATCACCTCAGCACCCTCAATCACCTTCGGCCTCAGTCTCTCCCTCTTGCCCATCCCTTTTGGGAAGAGATACGGAGATGATGTGCGCTCCCACCACGCACTGCCGGCGATAGCATCGCCGCTTGCCCTGCCGCAGCGCAGGGCTCCTGCTGATGGCTTTCAATGCCCTTTTATGGAAGAAAAATGAATCGCCTGCCCAGCCACGAGTGCCTCCGAGCCGAGATGACAGACGGAAAGTTGCCATTTGTTGTGGTTTTGGCAGTGAGCGAGCAGAGCGCGTTCCCATGCGCGGCGCTCATTTAAAAAGGGCGCAGCAGAGGCACTGAGCTGGAGGAGAAAGCTGGGAGCTGCAGAGCTGTGGGTTTCCAGGCATGCGGAGCTGAGGGGGAGGATGGAAGAGTCCTGAAAAGAGCCCTGAGCCTTCTGCTGGATCACACAAGCTGGGGATGGGCTTCCAGGCGAAGGCACACAAAGGCGTGAACACTCCATTCCCAAATCCTATCAGTAAGAGAAGCAGCAACACCACACTTCCATTTCTTCCCCATCCCCACAACTTCTGCTGATCCATATTCACACAGACAGGGGAGGAGGGGAACTTAAACACAGGAGATGGGCCCTAAGGTCATTGCCACCAGGAAGAAGTGACAGGGGTTTGCCATAAGCAAATGTCATCGTCAGCTCTGCTCTCCACTAAAGCTGCAGGGCTAAGCCATCAGCAACAAGCAAATCCAAACAACCAGGCTTCAAGGAATAGCATACAGAGAGCAGTGATCAGAATGGCTGAACAGAGAATGAGACGGGACCAGGGGGCCTCCGAAATGTTTGCAGCGCTGTCAGGAAGCTGAATGAGACAGCAGACTCCTAACAGCTGGGAAAACATGTCGCAAAGCAAGGAGAGAAAAGTAGTTCTCCATATGCAAATCCTACTCTGAGGCATTTGGAACAAGCTCAGTTCCCCCACAACACACCTGATGCTGGATCCTAGGTGGCAGGGGTTGCCTTGTTTTGTGCCTCCGAATGAGGCACAGCTGCGTGCCCCATTATTGCAACAGGTAGAGAGATCACAGAGCCTACAGCACACCCCATTAGCTGCTTCTGTAACCTTAGATCTGGTTTGCCACGATTTCTTATTTCAGCAAGAAATGCTGCTCTCACTGAAGTCACTGTGAACCATACAATGTGACTTATTAGCATGGGCTGTGGATGCAGCCTTAGCACCCTGCTAAGAAAAGCCATGTTCAGACACAGCTTGCTAGGCAGAGCTCCATACAAGCTTAAACCTGTCTCACTCCCAGCAGAAAATGAAGGTGAAGAGCAGCTGGGTGCATCTGCTCCCAGCCAGCACCTTGCAATCAATCCTGAGAAATACCAGCAGCTTGAAAAGAAGTCCTTAAAACATCACCTCTCTGTTCTGCAAATTAAAAGCGCACACAAAGACTGCTGTGCTCAGAGAGCCCAAGCCAGAGACACAGAGGTGATGGTGGGGATCCAGCCCACAGGTGCATTGACACCCACTTCTCCAGCACAGCAGTTGGGACACCCAGCAGGCAAACTCGTTTCCTAAGCACAGCCTTATTAGCAGGATGCAATGCGGAGCCCTGAGAACAGGAGAGGCAGCTGCCCCATCCCAGAGCAATGCAATTTAACATTCTGCAGCCATGTGTAATCACCTCTTTGCATCCAGTCAGCAGACAACTCGGTTCAAATTAGCAAAAATCCAAAGGCACACAAAGGGGTTTTAAGGAAAAGTGCTGGAAATGCAAGCCCTTGTGACGCGGCTGTAGGTTTCAGCTTCGGGTTTTGAGCTCTCCAGCACCCAGAGGGCCAGCACTGCTTCATGCACACACGATTTCCATGGCAACAGCAGCTCTCACCTCTCCATCTCTAGGCTGGCTGAAAGCCCTGCAGTGCTTTGTGCTGAGACTGCAAAGAGGGGAGAGCCCTTCCCAGGCCACAGCACTGCACTGGGATGGCAGCGAGCAGCTGGGAACAAAAGCTTTGTCTTTCTGAACAATGCAGGACCTTGGGAGGAGGGAGGCAGAGCAGAAGTAAAGGGTTTCCTTTTCTGGTGGGAAACAGAACTTTTCCCAATGTGCAGAAGTGCACGCTCACTTCCCAGCGCTTCAGAAGTCAGCAAGCAACTCGTGCCTTCCCTGGTTTTACCCAACTGCCAGCTTTGCTATGTCGGAATGCAGGGAGGAGAAACACGCATGGTTAGCAATGAGAAATTCAGGGTAAGATGGAGGCTGACCGAGCTGGCCAGCAAGCCTGCTGCTGCCGGGAACCTGCTCAGTGCACAAAGCCCTTCTGGGAACAGAGGGGCACTGAGCAAAACCTCAAAGCTCCAACAAGCCCTCGTGTCAGCCTGCTGAGTGACAGCTGCCTCCCTCCCTCCCATCCCAGCTCAGACAGCAAACACACAGTAGGTTTTATTCTTGGGTAGCTGGGGCAACAGCTCTCCTTGACTAATTAAGCTTCTCCTCCATTCTGCAGTTAGCAGTACTAAGATTCAAGCCCTGGCTACCTCAGAAAGAGCGCAGCTTCCTTTGGCACAGCTGGAGCCTCAGTGGCCCCAACAGATGGCACAGGCTCATCTGCATGCATCCATGGGCACCCACTCAGCTACAGACAGCGACCAGCAGCTCTGCTCATGGCTGAGGTTCTACCAGCTGAGTTCTGGTCCCTGCAAGGTGCCAGTGGGTCAAACTACAAGAGATGTAGGAGAGATGCACAGGGAGTAATCTCTGTATGCCTACAGTTCTTCCTCTGTTGAGCCCAATCCACGTTCAGCCAGGAGTGCTTCTAGCTGGTTTCCATCACTTATTTTACAGTGCATCCATATCTGGCCCAAATACCCCATGCAAGATACAAAGGAAAGCCAGAGCATGAACTCCAAGCAAGATGAAGGACCCAGCTGATGGAGCACAGAAACACAACAGGACCACCACCTGGTCCCCCTCTCCTCACCCTGTAAGAGACTACATGTTTCCAGAGGCACCTTCTGACCTTTTGCTTTCTGTACCTCCCCTTGCTGTAGGTTCAGCTGTGCAAATGCAGCCCTCCCAGTCAAAGAGGGACTCCTTCCAGGATCAGTCATCACAACCCCAGAGTCTGCCAGAGGCACTGCTAGTAAAGTCAATGCATCCTCTCCAACCTCTGCAGAGTTCCCATAGAGGAAAGGGATAATCTAGCTCTTTCCTCCCTAAAGGCAACGGTTTCCTGCGAGCAAGAGCATTAGCTTAAATTCCTCATCCTGGAAGGAGACAAGATAGCAGGGAATGAGAAGAATCACCAAAATTGCTGCTACGAGAAACCACCACATCCTGCTGTCCCTATTCTTCATCCTCGCCTTCAAATCCTAAAGTCGTTCAGACTTCTAAGAAGAGCTCTAAGCTACTCAGCAGATTTTCAGCTAATGAATCAACACAAGCTGTCCAGGAAACCAGGAATCCAGCCCACTGGAATGCTGCAACCCCAGGGAAGGGGGAGGGGAATAGACAAGCAGCATCCTTCCCAGCATAGGAAGGAAATGAAACAGCAAACCAGAAGGAAAGCAACATTTCAGCACCGACCTCTTATCACAGTTTCTGTGCCACACTACACATTATAGTGGGAAAAAAAAACCCTTCAAAATTTTTTTTTTTGCACATTTGGAACGTTTGTGTTTCTCGAGCCTGAATTCCGCTCAGTGCTGCTGACACACACACATTTTGAAAACAGCTTGGGTTTTGCAAAAACAGATTTAAAACAAAACAAAACAAAAAAAAGCTGATTTGAACACGAATCGACAGTGCCACCTAGTGCCCTGCACAGCTCCTCCCTGCCTTTCTTCCTGAACAGTGGAGATGGGCACCAGCAAAACAAACCTGGATATCAGAGACCTGAGATGGATTTGTGTAACACTAAGGAGCAATCTTCCCCCCCTCAGGAAAGCAAACTTCACTGCTGGCAACTTCACTCTCTACAGACAACAGAATTTGACTTTCTCTTGCTTTCCCAGCACAGGCAAACAGCCACACTGCTTCCAAGAGCCCAACTTGACAGCAGTTACAAGCATAAGTCCAAAGCACCCACAAACTCTCTGCTGCAGGAGTGTGCAGCTCTGTGAACACAGCATGTGAATTAAGTGTAGTGGTTAACAGCACACGTTGCCTTGTAGCTTTGTGACAAACACCAACAGTGCATTGGCCACCAGATGTGTGCAGGACTCTGCTTATGTTGAGGAAACTGAGAAGCAGTTTTTACACTTCTATTTTTCCCCAGAACAGACAGTGCAGAGGCACAGCAGACAGTTTTCCCCCATTGGACCCCATGATTCTTCTTTTATGGCTATTAGCAGGCTTTAGGAAGAGCACAGTGATTTTCTGCCCTTTGAATGGACTTATTCAGACAAGTTTCTGGCCCTTCCAATCAAACCTGTATTCAAGTGACAGCATAAAAGAAAAAGGTAAGATGTTAAGGATAGTTTGTGCAGGCTTGTTTCAGCTCATTCTCCAGAAGTTTCATTACACAGAGGATTACAATTTGCCTTTCAAACACCTGGCTCCCCGCTCACTTAAAATATTACTGTATACGCAAGACAGCATCCTAAGGCTTTGTAGAAGCTTTTGTAGCCAACATCTTTCAAGCCTGCCACATGAAAGGGATTCTGTTGTCTGTATCAACAGTACCCTGAATACATCTCTCCAGACACACAGAACAGCAGCAGGATCCAACAAATACCCTGACTGCTGCTCCATGCAGCCACATGAGACCATCAACTCAGCTGAGGCTGCAAAGTACGAGCTGTGCTCAGCTCTGCAACAAGCACTCTAGAAGAGACCCAGTGGCAAATGTCACCCAATTACCTTTCTGCAGCGGGGATTAGGGCAGCTGAACCTCTTCACATCATTGTCCAGTAGAGCTGGGAAGTTACAGAAGGGACACCTACAGCCCAAAATAAGAGGCTATTAATGCACAGTGCCAACAGTGGATTTAGTCAAAAAGCTCTACGGTGCTTAACAGTGCTGCCAAGCAAATGCCTGCTGCAAAGATATGCTGACTGCTGTCCCTTTCCTCATATTTCTTCGATCACTTCCCTGTTTGCAATCAAAATGTCATATACTCAGCGCTACTTTAGACTGTATAATATAGAGGATCAGCAAAGAGTTTGCAAGCGAGTCTTAAGGGAGACAGCTGTATTGAGTTTTAATCTGCTCCCAGTCAAAGGCAGGCCAACCTGAGTAAAAACAGCCTGGCAGGCAGAAGCCTGAAATAGCAATGCAGCTCTACCCCTACAGCTGACACACATTCAGGGGCTTGGGGAGCCATTTTTTTTGTTACAACAGTTAGCTCAGTTTGCACCTTGCACTGGGCACTGACCTGACAAGCTCATCTGCACAAGCAGCAGCCACCTCCTCCTCGGCTTTCCGCTCGTAGTATTTACACAGGATGGTTTCTGGAAGCACCTTCTCCAGCTCGCTGGTAGGGAACGAACACGTGCAACTGCCTTCCATGCAGCTGAGCTCTGACTGCGGGTGGAAAAGGGCTCAGTCTCAGTATGATGGTAGTGACAAACCAGTCAGTGCTTGGAACATCCCACGTAAACCAGAGCAGAGCCATGCTTAGAGATAATAGAGCTTTAATCAGCAAGTGACTGCCAGAAAGCAAGCTTACAACAGTAAGAACACGGCTGGCTCATCAAACAGATCAGAACTCAAAACATGTATTGGACATGAAGATGCTTGCTGATAGGTTGGATCACAGTCCACAAGCACCAAATCCACTGTGACCTCAAGGCAGCCTGTTATTTCTGCACGTTTGTGACCAACACATTCCATTCTTGGCAATACACAGAAAATACAGCTATGTTCACATATAAAAGAGTTCCCAGAGTACCAAAGTACCCTACAATCCAATTATTATATCCAGCACAAATGAGCATGCACACTTCCGAGCAGGTAATAATTCACATACAGCTCAGCTAGGCATCAGGATACTGCTAACTGCTCCCTTACCAACTCTGGACCAACTCTGGCAACTGTCCCAGGAACAGCAGCATTCGTAAGTGACACTGTAGTTGGTAGTACCATTGAGGAAACAACCCCCAAATTGAGTTGGGATCACAAGGAAGTGATGAAGAACAAATATATTTTAGCTAGGAAGGGACTGGCTGGGTCAGAGATGACACCACCTCATGCAGATACCATCGGTTCATTAAGTAGTGAATCAGAACCAGATGAGTTCAACTTATTGTTACTGTGAATGCTGTAAAAAGTTCTCCTAACAATCCATTTCAATTTGTTCAGCGTGAAGTACACAAGATGGAGGTCAACAAACTAAAACCTTACAACCCAAATCCCATTGGAAAGTTGTTAATGGTGAGGTTGACTCATTGGATTGGCATTTCAAGACATCTCTGATCAAGTACTTCTCAGGAAGTGTGGCTACATCTGGTTTAAGCTACAGAACTATGCAAACAGCAATGTGATCACCAAACAGCAATTTATCCATTTTCCCCTTGTCCAGTTGGGAAATTCTTACCTTCCCAGAGCCAAAGACTGCCTCCTGAGCATATTTAATTAGGCACTCCTTACAGAACAAGTGACCATCTGCACACTGAGTTAGCTCTTCAAAAGCAAACTCCCCGTAACAACAGCGGCACTCTATCATCTGACCGTCCTGCAACACAACAGAAATATTAGCAACAGCAAGAAAGAAACAGGAATCAACAGCTACAGCAACATACCAGCACACTGCTGCAAATAAGCACCCCGTGATGCGGGTACGTAGAACTGCAAGCTATAAACAGTGACAACATTAATTATAAGAAGGAGCCATAGTTACACACCATTCCATCAGATATGCTGCTCAGTGGTCAGAATCCACTAAGCAAAACCAGAAACTCAGTTTTAAGTAACTTAATACCTACACGTCCGGTTTGGCAGATTCCAAAAAGCCAGAGAACACATGGTGTTTTAGGAATTCTTAGCTCACAGGCATAGAAGCATCTTGAGCTGGGGAAGCTGTGATTGCAGAGAAGCAACAGAGTACACACCATTCACATGGGGAAAAGCAAGCTTCAAATCTGTTGCCCTCTAAAGGAACAGTCACCCAGCTGTCTGCAGATACCCTGCCTTGGCCTCCTCACCACAGTTGTGAACGTATGCCCACTTATTCAAACGTCCAGCATCTTCTGAGAAGTCTGAAGAGAAGCAGGAATTGCAAAAGAAAAAGCAATCCAAAGTAATTGAACCCATCTTAAACTTTTCTCCATCAAAAAGGAGAAACCCCATTTTCAGGTTTTTAAAGAGCCCACTCTGCAAAGGAGAAAGGCCTTTCTGCTGGCAGAGCTCCAAGAACAACAGCAAATCTGCTTCGAGGTCTCAAACAGCCTAACATCAGCAGCAAGAGCAAGCCTGGTGCTATTCTATTGCAGTGTTTGTTCTGGCCAGTAAAGATACAAGCAGTAGCTGACTGAATTACTGCAGATCATTATGTGCATCAATACTGTCTTGCTGGACTCAGCTCGTCTACCTCATCCAAAATCCAGCCAACACACACTATGCAGGTTTTGCCAGCTCAGCAAAAGCAGCACAGTGCAAATGCAGCTGGTCCTCCCTGAAGCCAGGAAATTCTGAAGTGCCATGTGCAGAACAGCACCTATGCATGAGGGATCACGTTAGATATACTGACCTTCTGATACTGTTCCTCATTCATCTGCAGAGCAAGGAGAAAGTCTGCATGCTGTAAAAGAGACGTGCATCTTTATTTACAGAACAGATAAAGCAGTTTTCCAGCCCCATTTACATTATCTCAAGATTTACAGCCCACCACAAAAGGCACACTGTCTGCTCACAACAACACTCAGCCCATCCCTCCAGTCCATTAAGATATTTATGATTCAGCTAAAACAGATGGGGGGAAGGCAAAGGCAGCAAGAACAAAGAACCAAATTCTACATTATGAGGGGCTGCCCCTTCATGTTCCTACAGGCAGAGATCAACTCGATGGGCCTCTCCAGTGGAAGCCCCAAGGAACATTATCATTGCTTTTAAAAGGAGGCACAAACCATCTGCTTAGGAGAAGCTGATCTTTAAGAAGCTACCTCAGAAAGGACTGTATGTGCAGAAGGATGAATTCTCTATGAAAGACAACACAGCAGCAGGTGTTGGTTGCAGGATTCTGCTTTGAAAGAGAGAGACCTCAGCAAGGGAGAAGATGTTCTGGAGCCTGGAGTGCCAAGCTCTGCAAGGCAGTGAACGAGCAGACTGCCTCTGGCCTGGCAGCAGAGAGGTTAATGTAGTGAGTTACTCAAAGTTCTGTTCAGCGTTTGAGTTTCAGTAAGAGGCAGATTTCCACATTCAGGGCAAAGAGCTCTGCAGTCATTTGCACCATCGAGCCAAAGCAGTTCCTACCACTCACCTCTGCCATCTCTTTAACTTTTTGTTCATAGAATTCCTGCTCCAGTAGCACAGGTGGGAGAAGTGAGAGCCTGTCATAGGACCTCCAGTGCCGCCTCTTATTCTCCAGAAAGAACATCCGCTTCTCAATCTTCACATCACCTAAAGCAGTGTACAGACACCATGAAGCAGGACAGAGCAGCAAGAACAAAGCTCAAATCCCTCCTCCTCTACACACCTCCAGCACCATTGTACCAAGCAGATGTACTAATGAAGAGCATCTCCAAAACAGATAGCAGACAGCGACAGAAACGTTGCTGTTTTGGGAACATATCCTCTATCAAGGACGGTCCTTTCTAGTGTAAGCCAGTTCTGCTTACAATAATCATGCAGAGAGCACAACACACACTGCTTGTTATTTACCTTGCTCAAATTTGAAATCTATATATGAATACTGATTCATTTCTTTTCTCCTTTTTCGTTTCCCACTGGTTTCTGGAGACAGCTCCTGCCATTTTTTGATGGCATCTGAAAAGGCCTGAAAACAAAACAAAAAAAAAAACAACGTGCAGATAAAGTCCCTTCTGTTCTCCAGGAGAAAGCAGAAGCACACAGCTCAAATCAAAGCAGCACTGTACAAACAGTGCACAGGACTGAACTAAAACAGGAAAGCCAGGCACCACACAGAGGCACACAGACCTCTTCCCTTTGTCCACCTTGCTGCTTCATGTACTCATAAAGCAATCATTCCATTACAACAACGTAGCCACCAGGCAGAGCTGAATGGTACCTTGCACTGCCTCAGCCATTAACACTAATACAGCTGCTGTCCACACTGATGCAGAGCTGATCTTTTTTTTCTTTAAATTGAATTCCTTTTCTGAAGGTCTACAGTTAAAATCTGGTTTTGTTCAATTCAAGTGCTCAGTGCTCAATCAAATGAAGAGGAACAGTGGTTTTAGCTGTAGTCAAGTACTGGAAGGGTAGAGAGAAAAGCTCAAGCAAGAGGAGCGTATCAAAAACACATCCAGTCACAAGCTTGAAACTACATTCACATTGCCTGGTGATACTCCAGAACAAATTTCTTTGCAGTTCCATTACCGTGAAAACTTCTACAAAGAATTTAATGATTCATTTCATAAGTCATAATTGTAAGAAATAAGGCAATGAGGTTTGGCCTTCTCCTCAATTACGTGCTGTCACTTACAAACTAGTAACAGCAGTTGAGTTAAATGTTTTAAGACTTGGCTGAGTGTCTTGGTTTTATTGGCAATTACACCCCACTTCCGCAAAGTACAGGAGTACCTTCAAGTTTAATGCATCACTTATCATAAACTAGCTACCATTTCATCAATTATTCTGTTACAGGAAAGTAAAAGCTTCCTGCAGCATTCTATCTGGCTGATGAGTTTTGCAAGAGTCTACTAAGCAAAGACTTCTTGAAAGGAAAGGAGGATGATTAAAACAAAAAACCCACAGAGAAACCCCATGTAATCACACATCCAGAGAAGCAAGTGGCACAGTAAGGCTAAATGACATCACACTGCTCCCCACAGGCAGCACAGGTAACCCTAGGAAAGAAAACAGACTCGAACAGGAGAACCTTTCGTGTGATTGCATAGTGTCCCTTGAGTTCATGTAGTGCCCACTTAATGTCTTGGCTGCTCAGCATCTTGAAGTCTGCCATGAGAAGGTCAGCTGCCTGAATAAAGCACCGCTGATCGAGCGGGGCAAGCTTGGAGAAGTCAAAGTAGTCCACTTTAGGCACCTAAGAAGGAAATGCAAAAGATGAGGGAGGATATAAAAAGACTTGCTACACATACACACACATCTCAAACTACTCTTGCAGGATAGGAGCCTTCTGCAGGACCTCCCCAGACTGTGGCACCCTGTCCTGAGCACACATCTAAGCAGCAGGTGGGAGCACAACGTGGACATGAAGGTGTATGCTGTGCTCCTGGCAGGACACAAGGCAAGTAGCTTAAAGCTACTGTGTGCATCAAGTAGGGAGACTTGCACTTAAGAGGCTGAAAAGCAATGCGTCAAGGTCACACAAAACAGTCCTCAGGCCAAAGCACTTCATGTGACAGAATGACCAAGAATTCCTACAATAGATGTCACATCAAGTACTTCAGCCAGCAGGTGGCTGACAGGCAGGCAAGCCTGAGGGGCTGCTGATGGCACAAAGCAGACAAGAGGCAGCTGTGCAACAGCAAAACAGAAGAGTCCTGAAGTCATCTTGCAAGCAACTATTGCTATTTACCACCACCTGAATCGCACCTAGAGGCCCCTTAACAAAGCATGGCTCAACCAGGAGCTCTGCAGGTACACACAGAACCACACACCCCGAGATCACTTCATGTTGGACAGGCTGGAGGTGTGCTGTACATGAGGGTATTCTCACTTGCCTTTGTCTCATCTTGGCTGGCAAGCAGGCTGCTGGTGGGATTTAAAACCATTCTGCCTTCCTTCTTTGGGTAATCTGGATTTTCCAGAAGGAAGTTACAAAGTCTGGAAAGAAAACGATAGTTAGTTCAGGTTTGGGGAGCTCAGGCTCATTCCTCACTGGTGCAATTGTTAGCATCCTCTTAACAACAGGAGGCTGGGCAGGCAAGCCACAGCCTGCCCTGTGAGAACCAAGAGAGGTCTCAGGCTGGAACAGACTGAAAATAAATGACTGAGAATTAAGCAAAGAATTATCAGTTGCATGAGTGCAGAAGGGAAAGCAAATAGATGTCTTTCAACAATTCCATGTGCCTACACGAAGCTCATGCAGGTCAGCTGCTCATCAACATAAAGCTCCACGCAGGGGGAACAACCAGGCTCGCCTCCCACCCACAGCCACATATGTGAGCAACACCTCCTCAGGCTACGTGAGTCCATCCTGCACCTCTGCAAGTGGAGGAGCACTCGTGTTCTGCTGTGAGGAAACCAACACTGTGAGACTGCACAAGAAGGAACAACTGCAGCACAGCAGCATTAACTGAGACAGCTGACATCCACCACGCCACACAAATCTATGGAAAAACAAGCACACAAATCCCTATAACAACTGCAATAGGCTGAGGTCTTCCTGGTCTGAAGATTACTGAATCAAATTTTAATTGAAGCCTCCGGTCTTTAACTACTTCCCCATAAAGGCAGAGGCAGAAACATGCTTAAAATTGTTTACATCAGATACGTACTGCAAACACAGCTCTCATTGTCACAGGGCCTGAAATCACAATGGCATTGTCCAAGTTGCACTGCAAGCTGCTATAAGTGGGAGCAGCATTCAGAAAACGATCACTAAAAATAGTTGGCAAATGACATCCCAGACAAACTGCTGCGTGCCTGAGGTCCTGCTGCAAACAATGGTAACTCTGTCAGGAGAATTTAGCTGAACTGAGCATTTCAGCTCCGGAAACCCTCCAGCAAGTGGTTTCGGAATACCCCACTGCTGAGATCCACACCCACTGCAGACAGCCCTGCCGAGGGGCTCTGAGCTTCCCCTGCTTGTCCTCAGCCCTTCTTGGCTGGGCCAAGGAATTCACACTGGTCCTCAGCTTCCTCCACTGCAGAACAACATCATTCTGAAGAGAGCTATGAGGAACAATTAACATCCATAAAACTGTTTGAATAAGAAGGTGCTAGGTTGCAGCAAAGACAAAATTGCTGCTAATTTACATTCCCAATGTCAGAAATCAGTCCCTAATTAAGAAATCTGAACCGGCATCCAGAATTAACCCGCTATCAAGGCACCATTTCTTCAGCCCTGTGTTCACATTCAAAGCAGAGGCACTGCTTTCTGTTTAATCAGGCACTGACATCTTGAGCCAGGAGCCTGTGGCCACACTGAAGGCTTCCGCACACAAAAGCTGAGTGGATGACACCCAGCTGGGAGCAGCTCTCACATCTTTCACATCAGCTGGAAGTTTGAAGACCATCCTATCGGAAAACAACAAAACATCCTGGCACTGAGAGTTTAATAGCTTCCATCTCCCCGCTTTTGTAAAAGATGACTGTTCTAATCCAGTGAAACAAACCACGAGGAGCTCAAACACGAGGGTCTCAGCTGCAGCACAGTGCATTTGAGCTCTCCTGCCTTCTGGTGCTTGGGATTTTCAAAGATGTTAACCCCCAACATCCGACAATGAGTTAAGTGGGTCCCAGCACACACACTCTTATAGCACTGCTCTGTAATATCTGCACCCCAGGACACAGAGCCAGCTAAAAGCCTCAGCTCTGGCCAAACCCAGCCACCCCCAGTTATTATATACCTCGAGCCTGATGCAGCTTGACACGCCGTGGAGATCAAAGAGCCCCTGCCAGCAAGGCTGCCCAGTGCCACGACCCATTTGTTCCAATACAAAAGACACGGTGACAATTCAAAAGACAGTTTGGTTAAAGGAATAAAAATATGGGGAAGAAATCTTTATCATCCAGTAAGTCCGCCACGCGCCGCTGAGCAGACACTGTGGGCAGCCTGCAGGGCAGCCTGTAAGCACCTTTTCATCTCCCTGGTTCTGCAGCACACAATAGCAGAGAAGACATTCCGGGAGCAAAAAGGGAAGGGACGCATTAAGACTTACAGAAGCCGGGATTTAATTCCACCAGGCTTCACTAAATCCCTGCAGGATACAATAACGGGTTTTGCACACAATCCCTGAGAGGGTCCTGCAGCCACACACCGAACTTCAATGGCCCGACTGCCCCAGGGATGAGTGCTGTGTGCCTCCTGCATTTCCAACACAGCCACTCCTGGGTGCGAGTGCACAGCATGGGCACCTGAGAGCTTCTCGTGCTCAACATGTCACTGCTGCAGGGAAAGCACTTCCAGAAAAGGAGAAGAGTTGCAACCTGATGATTTCCTAACCAAGCAGTGCTTCTCCCAAGGCATGATTTCACAACACAGGCAAAGGGATAAGAAATCTAAGGATGATTTCATTTATTGGGCTTAGCTCCTTGCCACTCATTTATATCCAGTAAGCCTCACATACTTGAATACTGTTAACATGAAGGCATCAGATCCATACAAGGTAGAGTGAATCCTATGACAACTGACACCTATTCTTCATTTTTGTGTCATGTAATAACTACACTGAATGTGTTTCAGTGACAGTTCCAGAGAGAAGAGAGGGGCCACCCAACGTCAGCCGTCATTTACCCCACACTGCCCTTCCCTGTGCTTCCTGGTGCCAACACACAGTCTCTCACTCTTCAGCTGCACAAGCTTTACTCACCAGGGTGGGGAGATGATGTAACTTATCAACAAGGTAAAGGACTTGTTGTAGTCTTTTGATTCTAGCATGACTCTCAGAGATACCAAATATGATTCTTAACAAGGAGCCTGGAGTGGCTGGTACAGTCAGCTAAGCAGCAGACCTTGGGGTGATTTCCCATTGCTTTTATTTCTCTCCATGGCTCATATTTCTGCTCAATTTGACCAAAATCTGTCCATCAGCAGACACCTGGAACAGATCCTACTGGTCCTCAAATGTGTTTATCTGCAAAAGGTGGTTTGAGAGGAACTCAAATGATACCAACTGCTACTCAAGGGGATAAAAACCAACACCATGGCATCAAATGAAGAAATCCAGATCAGTGTCAGTTTTTATCTGTAAAAAGGCAGGAAATTAAGCAGGAAATTGATTTCTAAAATTCAAAATTCACCAACTCAGCTCTGAGCTATGTTCTACAGAAGCCAACCCCTATTCCTGACACTCATTGCTAACAAGTCTGGTAACAGGAGGAGATGATATGTAATAGCTTTGAATCTTCAAATAACTAGTTCACAGAACATGCAAATTATCTTAAAAAGCAGAGAAACTACAGCATGATGTCAAAATCATACAGGCTTTAAGAACAGCTCTATTACACATTTAAAAAAGAAATCCATAGTGCTGACTCCCAGCCTGGATACACTCAACAGCATTATTAGCAGGAAGGAAATGGAAGTGTGACTGCAGCCAACCTGTTTTATGGCATACTCTGGCTCTTTGATCCATACTTACACATTTAAGTCATAGCAGTCCTTGATGCTGATTAGCTCTTCAATATATTCCTTCCTCACATCTGGAAATCTCGCTTCCTACAGTAGGAAAAGCTAAGGGTTATACAGGTATTAGAGGAGCACAACCTTGCAACAGCACCAAAGACAGAGATAAATGTATGGGTAGTTATCTTGCATGCTCCCAAAATAGGGGCTAAAATGGGATCCAAGAGACTGATTATATTCATACAGCCTGGATACCGCAAGCTGCTGGCTCTCCTGGCCCCTCAGGATAACTAATAGCTCTTTTTTTTATGAGAGCAGGGGTAGTGGTGTGAGTGCCTGGCTTTACAAGTGATTCTGCATGGCTGGAAAGAGGAGAGGCATATGGGTACAAACTACAACATGAGCAAAGTTGATACATACCCCCCAGATGGAAGATAAAGGGTTTTGAGGTTGTGTGCTGGAATACATTCCAAAGCAAGAAGGAAATGAAACAATACAGACTCTTGATGAGAGCAGAGCAGACAACAAACCCTTATTGGCATTAGCCATGTAGCCAAGAGCCCTTTACTGTTCTCTCCTTGGGTTTCCATGTGGGTATTGCACTTGGTTGCACCAGAGGGTACTTGGCTTTGCAAGACTGAACTGGTCATGGTTGTCAAGCAACCTGAACAATGTAACACTATGTACTCGTCCATCTCCTAGAGCAGGTCAGCAGTCACCAAGGTCTAGCTCTGAAAAGGGAGTGTTGATGGTGTGCTACTTGGAGAATAACAGTATTTTCTCAATCTGGATTTCCCAAGACGGAATTAACGTACAGTGAGATGCAACAAACTTGTAAAAGATAAGAAATAACAACAAACATGTAAAAAAAATCCATAAAGTATCAAAAGAGAGCCTTCCTCCCCAGCAGGCAGTGGGATGACTGTATGCCAGAGGAGAGGGTAACCACCAGATGTGAAGCATCACTAGCATTGTTTCCTGCTATTTATGTAATGCTCACCATGCTACCCAAGCTACCAAACTAGCACAGGTATGGAGAATGGACCTGTGTTACTTTGCCTCACCGCACCCCAACACACTCCATACAGTTCTGCTACATTTTCTTGGCCAACAACCCACCCCAAAGCAAACACCATCGGGATTCACATCCATTCATCACTGCTGCCCCAGCAATGGGGTTAATCTCGTTAAACCAAAGTCTTCCTAGACTGCTCACTGCACACTCACGTTGTGTGTCGCTGAGCCTCAGCCCAAGTGAGGAGGATTTGCACCTGAAGCAAGCAGGAGTTGTGCTTTGAGAATATGCAACACTGCACGCCTTGAAAAAACCTGAAAACAACACGAATGCAAAATGGGGACTACTTACTGTCTCTCTGATGAGCAGGGCAGTGAAGTCCTGGTCCTCCTGCCCAGCAGCCCCTTGTTCTGGCACACTGCTAGATCCGAGTTCATGGGAGCCCTGTGCTGGGAAGGCTGGGCCGGGCCGCTCGTTGTCTGTCTCCTGCTGTCCCCTCGTCTCCTCTGGTGGATGTGCTGGCTGGGGTGAAGCAGGACCCGGAATGCCATCCTGCTGTGGCTCCGGTCTGGGAAAGGCCGGCCCTGGAGCCTCCTCTCCATACGCTCTCAGAGATGCTGAGCCTGCCTCGGGCTGCCCCTGCTGCGGAGCACAGCCACTGAGCACAGCGCGCGGCTCCGTGTCCAGGGGCTGGAGGTAGGGGGGACCCGGCGGGCTGCTGTCCTGGATCTCCTGCTGTGTGGTGGTTGCAGCAGCTGTTCTATCAATGCTCTGCGAGAGCTCTGGCTTTAAGTCCTCCGCTTGCCAGCCCTGGGCTTCCACCTCTTCCCCTTGCTGTGGTGGAAAGTCTGCTTTCCCCAGACTACCAAATTCCCTGTTAACAAGCTGCGGACTTGTTACTATTGTGGGAAACAAACTCAGGCCAGGTTCAGGGTCACTCGTAAGCTCAGACCTGGGACCATTCAGCTCAGGCGGTCCAGGCTGCTGCAAGGCAAAATTCACACTCTCCTCCTTGCTTGGTCCAGCACTGCTCTGCGCCGCGTGGTCTTTCTGGCACAGCAGAGCTGAGACCTCATCCTGCACACACACGCTCCCCAAAGGCCCTACAGCATTTTTAGATCCTCCTTCTCCCACAGCGTTTGCTCCCTGCCACTGAGCAGCAGGTCTGATGACATTGGGACGCATGAGCTGCTGATGCTTGGAGGTCTAAAAAGAAGACAGAGGAGAATAAGTAGAAGTTCTTTTCTACTCATCAGAATCCTTGTTCCAAATGATCTTTTGCATCTCACCAGATTTCTGATGGGAAACAGATGAAAAGCCAGCTTAGCAGCGAGTGTAATAAAGCATTAAACTCCCACCCAGGTATCTTTGTTTCACTGAACTCTATGGTCTGTCCCCAGGTGCTAAGAGTGCACTAGTTATAAGAGAACATTCAGCAGAACTGGAGATGCACAGGACTTTCAGCACTAGAATAATTCCCAGAGCTCACTCCAATCCCCACTTCATTCCCAGATGGTCTGAGAAGTAGAAGCTAACTGATGGTGTGTTTGCACCTCAGCAAATCATTTATACAGGCAGCAGGAACTGAAGCTCAAAACATTCGTCTCTGGCCTTGCTCCTGCCTCTGGCAAGCTAAGACTGCTGAACACAAGTAGAATTTGAAGATTTGTTTGAAGATTCTTTGCCACTGTTTTCAAATAAGAAACAGAAAAGTGTCTTTGCAACTTTCTCAATGCCTCTGGTTACTTTAACAGAAAAGTGTGATGTGCTCTGAACTGCAGAGCTGAAGGACACAAGGTTAAGCGAGGTGCAGGTTTTGAACACCTGCATTCTAAGGAACAAATTCACTTCTCTGCCCACCTTTCTGGATTAAGGAGGTTCTAGTTTCCAAAAGTTAAGTAGAACTTCAAGTACTCTGCTGCTAACAATGCAGTTCTCCTCTCCTGTGCCCAAAACATGATGAAAAACTCCAACCCAGCAAAATGTTCTCATCTCAACACTCATTTCTGAGATCCCAATGAAGCCACTTAAACCAGGCAGAACTCCCACAGGAGTACATTAGGTATCTGTACGTGAGTTGATTATAAAGGCTATGAATAAAGCAGCAACACATACAAAAATGACAAATTACCTCTGCCAAGATGACCACATCTTCATCATCATCATCCTCACGCTGCTGCTCTGCTGGTGTTTCCTGCAAAGGCAATTCTTCATCCGAGGAATCTGATATTGTGATAAGACCTTCATCCCTGCGGTTTATTCGGTCTGTAGCAAGGTAAGTCGTGTTAGCTGCTTGCAAATTACTAAGACATCTGCAAAAGCAATCCTCACATTTGCATTGCAGCAACAAAAAAAAAAAAAAAGCACTTTGAGGTCACAGCCACTCCTATGATCCTCAGAGCAAAGCCTTGCAAAAAACTATAGGCCAAGAGATCACAACGCCATATGCCTGAAATGCTTCTATGCAGAGATTCTTCCATCCTAAGCATTAGCACGAGTCAAGCTGCTGCAAAACCTGTTCCCAGTAATTCATGTACAGAGTAATTTTTAGAGAGATACCCTGAACTTCCAGTATCTCAGGCACTACACATTTTCTTTTATTAATGTGCAGTACATTCTAGAGGACAGATAAGGTTCCGTGTGCAATGTGACATCTTCTGAAAGAGTGACTTTGTGGGAGCACCGTATGAGAGCCTGAGATAGGGCTCCTGACTGAGAGTGCAGATGATATCCTGCTATTAGATGACAGTCCTCAAGGTTTGTCACAAGCGTAAAGATGCTACTGAGCAAAGCTGCTGGAACAGGGAGGGAAGCTCCAGTTAGAAGCAAAGGGTTTCTGCACTGCCTGAGCAGCAGACACCCATGCTTTCCCTATAACTTGACACAATGCTTTGGTTTACACTTCTGCAACTGCAGTAAATCAATACACAACCACCTCACCTTTCAGACATACAAAGAGCCATTCTGAACTGCACTCAAAGTGCAGATCTGAAAGCTCACCTCTTTCCTATCAGATTGTTAAAGGGTGGAACACCACGAGCCCCTCAGATCTGCTGGAGCTCCTCTGCACAGCCAAGGAGTCAGCACGCTGCCTTAAGGCAGGGCAACACCAGAGAGGCAAGAGCTAAACATTTCACGTGCCAGCATGAATTGAGAGGCTTTGTGACTATCTATAGAAAATTAAACAAAACTGCAGGGTGTGACATGAGGAGACAGATCACTAGCAATTTTCTATTAACAACACCCCTGCATATTTAATATCTATTATTCCTACTGCTTGTAAGCAGGGCTGTACAACTCTGACTTCGGGAAGTACGCACAGATCAACGCTCACCTTTCCCTCTGTGGCTATGGAAGCTGCTTAGGTGAACTGCTTCTTCGTTCCCAGCTCTCTCTGCCATTTTCAATAGCTGTTCCCAGAAGCATCAAGGCCCAGGCATGGCACTCAGGCAAGTGTGAGGAACTAGAAGACAAAAACAGAGGAGAGTAAAGTGCGTTTCGGTTTCAGTTCTGACTTTCAGTACAGCACGGCTGCAGAGCACAACCAGGCCCAAAGGGGAGGAGAGCATGGAGATGCTCAGAGCTGTGCAGCTGCAGGAGGGCGATGCAGCTCTGCCCAGCCAACACTCAGACCCTCAAAGACTGTTTTCTGTTTCCAAGTCAAAAACTCAGAGCAGTGTTTCTGCCACCACCTGCTGGTAAGAGGAGTGAAAGCTTCAGAGCAGAGCTGTGTGCCCCGGGCTCTGTGGCCTTCACAGCCAGCACCCAGTGCAGGGAACAGACTGTGCCACAGCACGAACCCAGGAAATGTGGGCAAAGCCCCAGTGGGCATCGGAGCCCCAGCAGATCTGACAGCTTGGCTGCCAAGAAGGCAAATGCAAAGCGAGGAGACAGCCACCCCAAACCCTCAGTGCCCCGTGTAAAGGCTGAACTGGGGCTCCAGAGCAATCAGGGATGCTCATCTTATGCCATTCAGGCACTGAGCCTTGGAAAGAAGCTGCACCCCAAGGGCAGTGCATGAGCAAGCCCAAGGACAGGCAGCACTCACAGAAAACACTGCACCGCCATTACCTGCTGTTCCGAAGAACAGCCCTGCCTGCTTTATGACACAGCCCCTCCTCTATTACAATTTGTTGGAGATTCCAGGACACACCAACTGCTCCCAAACCAGAGAGACACAGAAGGGATGTGACTCCTTCCCAGGACATAACTTTTGGGTCTGAGCTCTGCCAGCCCAGCACCACGCCGGGCTCCAGGACCCAGGGATGGATCACTGCAACCTGAACAGCACGTTTCCATTTTGTGCTCTGACAGCCCACAGCTCTCAGCTCCAGTTGTCACACAACAGCTAAGCGCAGACTGAAGTTGGAGCAATATCTGGTCACTGGAACACAAAAGGAGGTCTTTGTATTGAGAAGTATTCATCTCACTGTTAAAGCATTGAGGAATCTGTATTATTAAATATTTACTGCTGCATACATTGGAAGAAAACGGTGGGTCTGCTCTAAAATCCTTTTGCTGGTACACAAAAGCAGTGTAAATCCCTCCTCAGTCATTCTGCTTAACTTCCCCTGCAGGGAGGAGGATTTGCAGCTGGCACAGCATGACAAAACCTGTCATGCTATGAACTTAAACATACATATTCCCCCCCAGGACTGTTCATCACCATTCTGAAAAAACAGGAACACACATTTCCTGCAGAACCAAGACTTTGGGGTTATTTCCACAAGGTTCCTCAGCCTCTGCCTTATGTGCAAGGAGAAGCAAGCCTTGCTCTGAGTGGCACTTTGATGGTCAGAGAGGTGCAGAAGTGCTGCTCCACTCCCGCATGCTATCAGTAAGCACGCCTGCTGAAAGCACTGTCCTTTTTAAAAGGTCACATCCACATTATTCCAGTTCCATTTGCCTGGCACTTGTGAATAGCTATCACCTTGCCTTGCCACTTTCCCATCCTCAGCCCTCAAGTGCTTTAGAAAAACAAGATCAGTGTTGTTCTCACCACTTACAAGATAGAGAAATGGAAGCAGTGAAAGGAGCAGCACGGCCAAGGTCAGCAAGCAGGTGAGAGGCAGCGTCAGGAATAGCACCCAGGCCCCTGCAGCCAGCCAGGTGCACCCATGCCCACCACTCCTGCAGGCTGGTCCTGCACAGCACTCCTTGCAGCACTCACCTCAGCCCCACCACACTGGGAGCAATGCACTGTGCAGGGCATCACACAACAAGGGATTGTTCTGAGGCTGGCTGGGGAGGGAAAAGCCACAAATCAGCCCTGCAGCATCTAACAGTGCAGACAGAAGCTAGGCGGGTGTCTGCTCAGATCTGCTCTCTGCAGAGCTCAGTGGCACAGATGCTCTCCCCATGCAGGGCATGCAGTGCATCAGAGTTCAGTACGTGTGGGTCAGCCAACACCGTGACTGCCCCGTGCTGCCCTGCCTCCAGCTGGGGCTGTTATCTTCCTTCCCAGCAGTGGTAGCAGCACTGTGTTGTGGGTCGAGGCTGAGCACAGAGCTGACAACACCCATATTTTGGCTCTTGCTGCACAGTGCTTACTGAGCTGAGGAACCCGGGGACCGGCTGGGCACCGCTCAGCAGATGGGGGCAGCCACGTTGTGTGCCATTGTTCTGCACATCCCACCATTATTTTTCTTTCCTTTTCTGTTCCATTAAACTATATCTCAACCCATACGTTTACCCTTTTTTCCCCTCAATTCTCTCCCCCACCCCAGTGAAGGGGGAGGGAGCAAAGGGCTGGGAGGTGCTGAGCTACCCCACCACCCTTCCCATGTGGCACTCAGACACCGTTCTCCATCGGCAGCTCAGGTTCATCCAGAGAGCAACTTGTTCCTTCAGCATCAAAGAAGAGGTGCAGGAAATGCTCTGTAAAGAAGCTCAGGATCACAGGCTGTGTGCCCCCTGCACATCACAAGATCAACGGAACAGCACCCACTGGCACAGCCAGTTCTGTCCAGTGGCACAATCACAAGTTTTTCACTTGTATGGCACCAGGCTGCAAAAAAAAGTGAGCTAACAAGTTCAAAGCCAACCCAGGGTGCTGCCCTACATAAACAACACAACGAAGGCAAGCAAGGCACACGGAAAGAAGCTATCTCACACCATCTCTGTGACTTTTAAGCCTGTTTATAAAGGATAAGGCTACCTGTAACAGAGTCCCAGCACAACTATCAGCCTCGCAATACAAGGGCACGATACAAGAACCATTTTAAAAGGAAGACCTGACAGCTGAAGGCATGCACACCTCCCAGGCAAGCTGCACACACACACAGATGTGCCCTCTCCAAAGGCACTGCTCCCAACCACCCCAAGCAGACAGTTCTGCTGCAGGGATGTAAAAGCAGGTCACAGGTGCAGGCTGATTGCTTACACATGAGTCCCCAATCCCACTCAAAATCCCACAACCACCACGTTTCATATTTTTAGCCTAACCTAAAAATAGCAAGCAGCAGCACAGTGCATCTATTCCAACTCCCAGCACAGGCAGAAGTTTCCGGCTTGCAGGAATTGGAGCAGAACCCGAGCAGGCTCCCTCCACCTTCTGTTTGTGCTGTAAAAAGCATCTTCAGATGGTGCTGGGATTTAAAGCAACAGTCAAGGGGGATCTCTTCTCCCTGACACAGCGTAGCCTATTTTTCCTCCACTTAGAGCGTTTGAAACCTTGAACTCCCACATACCCGAGATGGGAGCAGACACAAAGTGCTCTTTTCTGGCTCCAGCTCAAGGCAGCAGGACGTGCTGGAAGCACTGCAGGGGAGGTTGGAATTGAAACCCCGACAAAATGGAAGGGGAAAAAAAAAAAAGAGCAACTTGAAAGAGATGTCAGCAGCATTAAGTCATTAAGTGTGTTTTAGCCTCTCCCCCCGTACAGCAACACCACTGCTGCTCACCTATGTTGACAGAAGAGCATCAATTCCTGCCTTCTGCCTGCAGGCAGCACCGTGGCTTCTGGTCGCCTGCGAGCAAGGTGAGGTTCTGGCTCGTCTCAAGCTGCTAAAACAAAGAGAAGCTGCTTAAATAATGCATGGCTTGTGACAAGCAGCAAACTGAAAAGCTAAAACTCAGCCCTTAAGAAAAAAAAAAAACACCAACAACAACACAAAATAAACTCCGCCTGACCTACTGCTAAGCTTTCAGTGAAATTTCAAGAGGTTCAATCTGCTGGGAGCTGCTCCTTGTAACAGCTGCCCAGCAGAAGCAGGGGGAGCTTAGCAGTGCTTATCATACCAAGCAGCCTCATCCCAACTGAAACGAGGCTGGTAAGAAACGCCAAAAGACTCTGTTTGCAGTGTGTGAGGAAACCACTGACACTGCTACACCTTGCAAAAGAATGCAGCCAGAGCAGCTCACATCACTACTGCTTCCCAGCCTACGACACCAGGCTCCCAGTGAGCCCCACTCATGTGGTTGAGCCATTCAGGTGTGAGGATCACTGAGCTACAACCCTGGGAAGTGCTCCACTGCCATCAGTTCATCTGCTAACACAAAGTACAAAAAGAAAGGAGCCTGTCTAGCTTTATTTTATCCACCTACAACAGCAGCAGATTCCCCGTGGGCTCTCCTAATGAAGGTGAGCTGCTTTTACAACAGGTGCATTTATTTCCCAAGCTGTGATGGCGCACGCCTGGCAGCTCCAAGAACACTTTGCAATGGCAGCACGTGCACAGAACCAACATCTCAGGCTCACAGCCCATACATCTCCCAAGCCATTGCTTTAAAGAAGCACATTGTTATGCCTTTGTGGTCTGAGGGTGGGGACAGAGCACACAGCACCATGTGAACTGCAGCTTTGTCACTTCCTGAACAAGTTTTAATTCTTTCTTTCAGCCTTGACCTCCCATGTATGCCAACCAAAGGCCCTTCCCTCTGAGCAGCACCGTCACTGAGGTGCTGGTATCTGAAAGAGACTGTGCAGGTGTGCCTGTGTGCCCAGCTGGTGGTGATGGCACTGCTTCCTCCTCCCTATCAGCCTGTGGGGCCACATAGAAAAGAACAAAATTAGCAACCTCTGTGCCCTGGGATGTATCTGCTACTTACACCTCACAGAGCATTCCAGGACAAAGGATGCAGCATTTCCTCTCCAGATCCTCAACAGTGCTTTCCTTTTTCTTTTCTTTTTTAAGGAAATCTGAATGTCACCTTTAAAAGCTATAAGAGAATAAAGAAAGTGGAGTGCAACTCTCAGCAGCTGGGATGCACAACTTCAGGTTCCCAGCCCAGCCGGGTTTTCTATTGCAAGCAGAAAAATCAAAGGCTTCAGAGCTGCTCGATGAGTAACAAGGGACTGAGTAGCCCAGACCAGGGGGCTGCAAGGCACTCTGAGCTGTGGGAACAGCCAGAGGGCTTCAAAGCCACCCCGGTGTATCAATTTGGAAGTTCACCTCCAGCCATCCTTCTGCAGGCGTCAAACAACTCAGAACTGGGGGCTTCCAAAAGGAACAACCTCACAGCTCACACCTTATTTACTACAGCAGTGCCCTTTTCTGAGCGCCCGCATGGGGGTCAGCCAGGAGCCTGGCATGCTGACACCAACACACAGCCCTGGATTTATTTCAGCTCAGCCACTTTGCTTCCAGCCCAGCTCTATCAGGTCCTTTCAGTGCCCCTGTAACACAGGCAGGGAACCACAGCAGCGCTGCTAATCAGAATGGTGTCACTCAGCAGCATTTCCTACTCTTCAGCAATTCAGCTTTCCTGAGGATCATTACAAATCTCAGTTCACCATAAGCTCCTCAGCACCAACCCTGAGGAAATGACATTGCTCTCGAGTTGTTTCCAAACTAAACTTGAGGCCCTGTACAAGTGACACAAAAGCAGCAAGGGCACAATGATGTCCATCAGTGAGACACACTGCTATCTCCATCTCTGGGCTTTGGAGAGCAGAGCCCACTCCAGCCCCTGTGATGCTAAGTGCACCTTCTCTCCCTGCCTGCCTGCCTACATCCCAGTGCAGGAACTGCCACAGCAGAACAGCAATTAACTTATCTCCAGGGCTGCTGCTGGCGTCCTAAATCAGCTGCACGCTTCGTGCTGCTGGCCATGTACCCACCCCAGGGGGGAGAGATCCTGCTGAGAGCAGTTGGTATCACACAGGGCAGCTCAAAACACATCCACCCATCGACCAAGGCATGTTGTGCACAACATGCAGTGTGCACACAGACTACTGAGCCTATCAGGGCCCACTTTCCTTTAGGAACAGGGGCCAACGTCTGAATTCAAATATGCTAAAACACAGACTTAACATTTATCTCCAGACCGAACCCACATGCAAAAAAATCAAGCTCCTGACACAAAGAATTAATGGTGTACCTCTGACTGTCCCAAAAAGAATGTGGCTCCAGCAAGCACTGACACCACAGCTGAGCCAACCTGCCCACACCACTCCAGCAAACCACTCTCTATGACTCCCAAAAAACAAACCTAAAGGCACCCGCTGCAAATGAATGGATGAATGGGAGCCTCCTCCAACAGCAACTGGCAACACCCAGAGGGCTCTACTTCCCTCTCACTGGGGCCTGTGCTGCACAGGTGTTGCTAATTAGCCCCCAGTCACACTTCCTGCCTCTCCCCAGCTGTGCTGGAGTTGCACTCCACCTATTTTTGCCACAGGACTTTTTAGCAATTTGTGACCAACTTCAAAGCACAAGACACGCCGCTGTGAGCTAAGCTGTCGGATGCAGTGCTGGTTCCACACTGCTGGCAGCAACGCCCACTGCATTCCCAGCAGACAAAGCATCGACCTGCCATGGAATTTGGAGTTCTGGGGCAGCTGCAACAGACTGCCAGACCTTGTTGTAAACCAAAACATACCTAGTCATCAGCAGAGCCCGCCCCAGCCACTGTGCTGGGGACAGCTGCGTAAGAAGGATGCCTGCAGGCAGGCTGACAGAAAAGCACTTGCGGAAGGGAAAGTAAAAGGCAGAGAGGAGCCCGTTACTGAAACAGCCCTGAATGCTGCTGTAGAGCTGCAGGAAGTGAGGGAGCCTCCTTCCAGCTCCTTCCAACTCCCATCACGATGACCATTTATTAGCCACACTACACACAATGCCTACTACGATGCTCACTGTAACAACGGGCCTGAGCAGGGGCAACAGAGCTTTGTGCAGCAACGGCCCTAGAAATGAGGAGGCCAGGTGAGAACAGTAGATGCACACACAGGGCTCACCATACGGCTTGCACTGCACACTGTTACAGCACAGTGCCGTGCAGGAGCACACCAGGAACAACTGCAGACTGGCATGCACAGAGCAGTGGTCTCACACCGCTCCTCGCTCCCCAGCAGGCTGCAGGCAGGGCACACCTCACCCTGTGCTCCCCAGCAGCAGGAGGAGCACACTGTGTAACCCAGCCCTGGTCTGGGTGCCCATCTCACACCGCTGCTGCTAGGAACCTCCTGCCTTTGCTCCAACAGACGGAGACAAGCAGCTATTGCTTTCAGGATCGTGGCACAGCACTCAGCATGCTTCAAAACAAACGCAAGAAGAGACTGCAGTTGTAACAGAAGTACAGGTGCACGGCAGCACCATACCAGCTTTTTTAATGCTAAGCACCATCAGTCCCAAAGCAGGGGCTGCACCACAGTGCTTCACAGAGGGGCTGAGCGCTGCCTGGCGAGCACTGGGGAGCTGAAGGGAACAGGGACAGCTGGGCTGCTCCACGTGCGTCTGCTCCTGGTACCAAAGCACTTCAGTGAGATCCCAGAAAAGTTGTCAGAGGACACAAATGATGCTTCTGGTCACAACGGACTGCAAACTGCGAAGCACACGGCTGGGTTTCCGAGTGGAGCAGCCGGGGCTCAGCCACACACCCACGGCTCGACCTGCCGGGACCACTCGTGCCTTCCTCCAGGACCCCCGACCTCCCAGCCGCCCCATAGAAGCGCGGCTGCAGAGCCCCCCATCACAGCAGCGCTGCGCGTCTGCGAGCTGGGCCGGCACCGCGACCACAGGGGCAGAGAGGTGTCAGCGACGCGGCCCTGAGGACTCCGGGTTCCCCTCTCACAGCGTCCCCACGACCGCAGGGAGGGACGAGAGAGGCGCCGAAGCCGGCCCGGGGAGCAGGGCCCGGGACAGGGCCGCACCCCGCGGGCACACAGCGCCGAGCGCGGCCCCGGCGCGGCGGAGGCTGCGAGAAGCCGAGGCAGCGCCGAGCCCTCCCCGCCCGGCCCGCCGCCGCCGCTCTGCCGCCTCCCGGGGCGCCCCGCGCGGCGCTCCCCCAGGCGGTACTCACCGGGCCGCCACCCTCCCGCCGGCCCCGCTCCATTTAGCCGCCGCTGCCCCGCTCCTTCCGGCCTGCGCGCGGCACGTGACCGCCCCGCCCCGCACCATAGAGTGGAGCGGCGGGAACTGGGGAAGGGGGGTGAGAGGAGAGGGACAGAAGGGCGGCCCCGGCGGTCCCGTCGCGGAGAACGTACCATAGAGTGCGCGGGGGGCGGTCCTCCGGGAGGCAGCGCTCCGCCCCCATCCGGGCGCTGCGTGGTGGTGGGAGAGGGCGGGGCTATTTTGGATGGGCGGGGCTAACGAGAAGGGGCGGGGCTAACGAGGAGGGGCGGGGCTAACGGGAGCGCACGTGGTGCCCGGCGGCGCGCCGACTCGCGGAAAGCCCTATAAACGGCCGCACCGTCGGGAGGATATGGTCTATATGGGGTCCCGTGAACTCTGGAGGGAGATGCCCTGACGTAGGGAGGCACAACGTCCCTCACGGAGGTCCCGTGTCCCTTGTGGGGGTGACCTGCCAAGTGAGGCTGCAGTCCCAAGCCCACCTGCCCCACTCAGGGGTCTCTCTGGGATTCCCCTTCTTCCCCCATTTCTGAGACTTTGCAGGACATCTTCTTTCCCGTCACACCATTCTAATTAGAACCCTTCCAGGATTTCCTTTCCTCTCCCAGATTTAGACCCTTGTTAAGATTTCCCCCACCTTGATTTAGAAACTTTTCAAGACTTTTTTTCCTCCTAATTTAGACCCACTTTAGCCTTGCCCTCCCTCCCCCACACCCCCCTTTCCGTTTCCAGCACTACCACAGTGTTCCCGAGCACTCTCCAGCCCTCAGAACTCCCACATTACCCCACTTTAGACTGCCACCTAGCCCCCCCTCCCCAAACCAACACACTCCTAATAACCCCCCCCAGTCCTGCACCTCTCATTTATCCCATCACCGTGCTTTTTGTGCCCAGGGGCAGGAGGATACAATGAGCGTTCCGGCAGTGCTGATTTCCCTTTGATACCCGATGCCTTCTTGCAAGGAGCGTGGCCCCACGGAGAGCCCTTTTGCTCTGCGCAGTCCATAGCACAGAGTCAACCAGCCTGGGTGCGTAGCTGGCAATGCAGACCTGGAAGGATGCAGAAGTTGCTAATGTGACTCCAGGGGAGCCTGCTGCATTTTCCTGGCAGCGTCACTCATTTTGTCTCTGCTCGAAGCAGCTTTTTGTTTCTGCCTTAGTGCTGGAGCTGCAGGGAAGGGAGGTCCCATGGGGGTGGGTGCCAGTGCAAGGTTCCCATTGCCATCAGCTCTGGGAGCGGTTGGGGTGATGCTCTGTTCACTCTTTTCTCCTTCCCATCCTCTAAGAGGGAGAAAAGTTTCTGACATGGAGAAAACAGTGTTTTTTCCCAACTCCCTCCCAGTGAGGAGCCGTGCCAGCATCCCAGTGGGTGGCAGTGGGAGCAGCCGCCGTGTTCCACCCCACTGAGGGCAGAGGGACAAATCCCACCTCCACTCCTGCCTCGTCCCTCCCTCGGCCGCAGGAAGGCGGGTGCATGGAGGATGGCTTTTCCAGGCTGTGCAAGAGAGAGCCACACATTGAAGCTGAGCGCTACCACTGCTGCGGGTGCTGCAACTGGGACAACACAACCAGGAGCTGCAGTTCTGCAGTTTGGGATTCCCTCCAGGGCAGTGACCTCAGGGGTGGCTGCTGGTGAGGTCCAGTCCCAGCTGTGAGAGGGGCAGTGAGGATGGAGCCGGGCTCATGCACCCCGGAGCTGTGCTATCCAAAGAATGGCAGCACCCAACTCAACGCCACGTCCGATAGTACCAGCGACCTCCTGGCCACCTCCTTCCTGGGCTGCATCCTGGGCACCATGTGCGTGGTGGGCACGGCGGGGAACATCTACACGCTGGTGGTCACCACTGTCTCCATGAGGCGCAGCGGCTCCATGTACGTTTACATCATCAACTTGGCCCTGGCTGACCTCCTCTACCTGTCCACCATCCCCTTTGTGGTGTGCACCTACTTCGTGCGGGATTGGTACTTTGGAGACCTGGGCTGCAGGATCCTCTTCAGCCTCGACCTCCTCACCATGCACGCCAGCATCTTCATCCTGACCATCATGAGCACTGAGCGCTACCTGGCCGTTGCTCACCCTCTGGCCACGCTGCGTGGATCGAGGGACCGTCGGCGGGCGCTCACCTTCCTGGCATGGCTGGTGGCCTTCCTCCTTGCCCTGCCCAGCATGATCCTCATCGACCTGCGCACCAGCCACCACCATGGGGTGACCAAGCGTATGTGCCATCCCACGTGGCGGATGGGGCCTTACAAGGTGTACCTCACTGTCCTCTTCAACACCTGCATCCTCGCCCCAGGCGTCACCATCTGCTGTGTGTACGCCAAGCTGGCCAGGACCTACTGGAGGTCCCAGAGGGCTCTTGTTGCTCACGCCAAGCACACCAGCCACTGTCCCAAGCAGAAGGTGCTATACATGATCTTCAGCATCGTGCTCGCCTACTGGGCTTGCTTTGTGCCCTTCTGGCTGTGGCAGCTCTTCAGCCTCTACTGGCACGAGCGTGGGGAGCGGGGCAGCTCCACTGTCGTCCCCATCAACTTCCTGGTGACCTGCTTGGCCTACAGCAACAGCTGTGTCAACCCCTTCCTCTACACACTGCTCTCCAAGAACTACAGTGAGTACCTGCGGAGACACCACCGGGCTGCCCAGCGGGGCTCCTCTGCACAGCCACCAGCCCCCGTCCCACATCTGGGGGGCTCTGGAGAGGATGACTGTGGTCTGTGAGAGGTGGGTGCCCATGGGGCAGGTGGCAGAGATGCAGATGCTTTTTTCTCTGTTGTGATTCAGTGGCTCAGTCTTTTTGCTGAGGGCTGTGGCACGTCATTGCTACCCGGGTGAGGTTGGTAAGATACCGGTTATAGCAATAAAGGATAAAAGTGGGGTGGCTCTGATCACTGAACTCACTCTGAGCCTTTTGATAAACGTGCTTCTTGTCGTTACGTTTCTACCAGTAGCTCTACCGAAAATAATCTATCACTAGATTTGTTAGAGGAACCATTTTGCTGGAGGAAACTGGAGCCCTGGGCCCCCTCCCACATCAGGTGCTCTGGAAGCACTGTTCCCAGTTGGTTCAGGCAGACCTTCAGATGAGCCCACGCTCCCTGCACAAGGGGACAGTATCTCTGTTCCCCACGGGTTCCCCAGGAGGGGTTAAATCTCCCCTTTGAAATCCAATAGAGCAAAGGCGTAAGGAGCCCTAGGCATGGGGGACTCTGAGCAGTGTCCCCAGGTCAGTCCCATCTGTCTGGACTCATTTAGTCAGCATCCAATTAACATTCCACTCCAAAGTCTCCCAGACCAAATACTTGCCCAGAACAATTCAATGTCTGTAGCTTTCTTGGATCAAGGTTAGCTCCGTAGAAGAGACCAGGTTAAGTTCATGTTGCTTTCTTATTCTCTTCTCACCACCACATCCAGGTTTCTCTTGCAGATCTTGTTCTAGAACCCAACCAAATACTAAGAGTGATGCCAGGGTCCCCTGGGTCCTCCAGGAACGTCTCCCTCCATCCCCTCTCTGTACCAGAACCACCACAGCTCAGCCATACGGTTTCCAGGCACAGCCCAACCCCCGGTCAGTTTGCCAGCTGCTTCTGAATCTGGGACAGAGCTCCACAGACTTGGCAGGGCACTGCAGCAGCTGTCTGCAAAGCCACACTTACCCTCCCTTTAAACACTCCTCTTCTGTGGTCCATAAAAGCCAGGTTGTGGTGGAAGGAAAAAAGAAGTCATTCTTAACCTGTTGATGTCTCAGCCCCCCTTCTGTCATCTCACAGCCAGCCCTAAAGGCTCCAGGCAGATTTTCTTTCATTTCATGTCAAGTAGAGCACAGGTCCCAGGTTAAGGGGCTCCTGCTCTTAAAGGGGGGATCGAATCCATGAAATAATGCTCCAGCCAAGGCTGGAAGGGGATCCACAGGACACGTGGGCATTGTTTGCATTATTCACTCAGCCACTAACTGCAAGATTGCAGACAGGGGTTATACATTTAGGCTTGATGTTATTTCAAGTCAGCCAAATCAGGAAGAGAGGCATTATCCCTTCCTGCCCCACCGCACCTAAAGGGATTTTGTCTGTAAGTGTTCGTTGGCAAAGCTGTAGGATTTTAGCATTACCCTAAGTCACATGTGAAAAAAAATGCCTGAAAAAGTAAATGATGGGGAGGGTTTATAGCTAGGAATCAAACTGCAAACCACCAACAGAAAATATAAAGAGGTTTGTCAGCAGAAAGCATTCATAAATTAAAATACATTCTGCTGTACCTTGGTCAAGTATCTCTTAGTGTACAGCAGGGGCTGCATTCCCCCAGGCAGGCGGAGAGCCGAGGACACGGGAGCATCATCATAAATCAGAACACAAATTGCCACTCCTAGACCAGCACTCCTCACAGACTGTTTTTGTACATCCTGCAGAAGGAGGCAGAGACTGGAAAATTTAACCTGAGGAATTTAATCGACCTGCCAAGCTTCTGCAAAAGAGTGAATTACTTAAGTTCTGTAACATTTCTTAAGAGAAATTGTGATTTGTTAATCAGTTTCCCAAAAGCTCATGTAGTGCAAGAGTCCTACAGCAGCCCCTCTACAACCACTAGGTTAGTCTGGAGAATCCAGTCTGATGGTGTGTTGGCCATGCTGTGAAGTTGCTCAAAGAATATATATTTTTAATATGAAGAAAAGCAGAATCTACACAGATGAAGGAAACCCCAGCTTTCAGCTTTGGGAGGGAAGGCTGTGCTGCAGCACTGAATCATGAGAGCTGACTGCCAGCACTGTCTGAGTGCAGGCTCATACCACTGTTTCTCCACTCACAGAGGTATAGGAAAGCATAGATTCATCAGCATTAATGAATCTTTCCCCAGCTCTCATAAAGAGGAGATCTTTTTTCCCCTTGAAAGCTGAGATTTTGGAAAAGTAACAGAAGAGGAGAAATGGCTGAAGGCTGGTAAACAGTCAGAGAAGGAATAAAATGAATGCACTCTGTCGAAAAGAAGTTTCAGCTGAGCCATCTATGTAAGACTGTGAAATCAGCTGCATTCTCACAGCTTGTCCACTGAGCCACCCCAGCTTCCCACTGCAGGTACCTGTACTCAGCACAAGGTGAGGCAGTTCTGTCAGACAACGCTGATGCTCACTAGTCACAAGTCTGGTCACTGCTAACAGCAGCAAAGCCTCATCGCACTGCACTCCAGGTCTGTAAAACAAACAGGATTATTTATTAACCCTACAGAATATTTTGTATTGCTACAGGCTTTTTTGTTGTTGCCTCCTTTAACACCGTGACTCTGTCCTCCACCCCATCTCCAGCTGAGCCCTCTCTCATTTCATTATGAGAGTATCAGTTTCCTGTGGCTTCCATAAATATGTTAACGAAGCAGTGGATACCAAGAGTTTAAAGTTGTGAGTTTATTGCATATGTAACAAAAATGAACATGACCTCCTGGGTCCAGCCTACTATACAATCACTGTTTATTCCAGCTGGTTCCATAACCACATTAAATAGAACTAGTATTTCTTTAAATACTTTGATTTAGACATAAAATGAAACATTAGTGTACAACTTTCACAAAATAAATCTGCAATAAAAACAGTGGGAAGAATAACAAGGATAGCAGCAATACTTAAACATGACATTACAAAATAATAAATTAAAAAAATACATTATAAAGTGGTCGAGGAACAAAAATTAACAAATTAAAAACAGATCCATACTGTGTTTCTGGGAACTTGCTGTGCCACGTGGCCCTGAACCTGAGCTACAGAGGGCCCTGGTGGCCAGATCACTAATTTACAAAATCTATTGGATTTCACAACCACCTCAACTTGAACAAAGTACACACTGCTGAGCAAACGTTGATTTCACCCCCTGGAGCTTCAAGCAGCCTTTCTGAAGCAGGGTCTTGTCTAACATAATGCCCAAGTTAATGCCAACATTCATAAAACAGCCTCATTTCTTCCCGATTTAAAACACGAGCAAAGTGGTGGTTTCCTACATCCCTGAGCATATAGTATAGGCTGATGAGCAGTATCAGGGCAAGCACTGAAGGTCTGTGCCAACGGACCAGCTTTTAGGTTTGCTTTTAGGACAGGAACGAAAGACACATTGTACCTTGTATTTCCTTCAGGTCTGATCCAAGACGTATGTGCACAAGGTGGAACGTGGAATGACTGAACGAACACCAGACTTTATGTTATTCTTTGGGCAAGTTTGAGGAGTAACAACCAGTTCAAGTGCTGGCAGACCAAGTGGGAATGAATGCACTCACAGATTCAGACAGCTGAGGTTATAAGAACAGCCTCCAAGACCTCATAGAGTCAACAGCTTGAGCCATGAAAACTCTTGTTTGTGTTTCATCCTTCCCTGGCCTTGAAACCAGCCACTGGAAGAAGAAATCATCACTTAAAACCCATACTGCCTCGCTTCTTTATTTCCTCCATCCATCCACCATCCATCCATCCAGCTTTAAGGCCTGCCTCAAATGCATGTACAGAACAATACAAAAAAAAAGGTCTTTATCATCACTGAAGTGGCACAAAATTGCGAAGACAACACAATGGGAGAGGTGGTGAAGCTGTATAAAAAAGAACTAAAATAATTAAACAGACGGTGCCCTACTCTGATTATTGTCAGCAAGGAGGAGGTACCTTGACAAGGGCTTTTAAATACAGCAAACAACAATCCTTGCCTATTCTTATTTTGTGCATTCAATAAAACACTGACCTAGGAAAGACATTAGGAACTATCATATGCCAACTGTGTCGCTGACATAAAGCTACTTGACCTATAGATTTCCAAATCAAGGGCCTTTACCTTCACCTCACTTGGTTTTTACCAAGCCAGTTTTAGAGCTTGTATGATAGGATTTCTGTTAGTGGTGGGCTTTAGCATCTGTTTTTTCAACTCTTTTAGTGAAAAATCCACATGAGACTACATGCAAAGCTTTCGGGCAATAATCCATGTTGTGTTTTTTCTATCTGACTGGTTTATTGCACATTCAAATGTACTGAAAGAATTAAATACACTCTATGAACAGGTACGACTTCACAGCCATTTTGAAAAGCCAGGGCCATGGGGATTCTGCTGCTCAGCCCAAGACTGTACAGACGTTCATCTACAGACAGTTCTATTTCCTTTCTCTTCGGCAAAACACACACATAATTTCACTTGTGTCCCAATGATCAGTACTGCAGAAACAGGTCCCCATCTGCAACAAGATTCCTCCAGAACATGGGTGTAAATATCCTCTGTCCTGTACAGTCTCTCTGGATGAGCACCTTGAGCAACCCTGTGCAAATCTCACACTATGGTACAATTTTACACCTCCAATGCAATCCTCACTCCCAACCACGAATCACAAGAATTATGGTCAATGGAAACAAACAAACAAAACTGAGAATGATGCCAGAATTTTGACAAGTGTCTACTTTCTGTCCTATCACAGTTTAAAGCTATTATCAAATTCAATTTAAAAAAGACAAAATAGAAGTATTCCAGTAGACATCTTCTAAGAACAATCTCTTACCCACAGCTGAATTTCAATGCACTATTCCATAAACAAAAACATCTGTTAAATGTTTCAGTAATGAATTTCTCTAAAAATCAGGCTTGCCAAAGAAAAAAAATCCTATACAAGCAAGCCTGCTTTACTTAAGTTTAGACATGTTTGACAGATAACTGGGTCTTTCTGAAGCCGTGTTATTTGTTAAAATACTGTCTCATCTCGGAGTGCAAACTGGAAAAAATGTTAGTGATTCAGGTATTTGATTTGCTTTTGTTTCCCTTGGGAAGTTATCTTAGCAATGTGTTAGAGAACCAACCTTTTAATATTAGTTTCAGGTATTTGAAAAAATAGCCTTCTGTGGCTCTCTGGAGAAATTCTTATCCTTACAGAACTGAAGTCATAAATCCTTTCAATAGCTTTCCATAACATTTAAAAATGTATTCACTGTATAGTTACCCTTTTACCACAGCCACCAAATAAACCTTTCACACGGCCAAAAACTTCAGAACAGAAGTTAGCTCTGTTGACTGAGCGTTTGGCGATTTCCATTTTGAATCTTCAAATACGAAGTCACAAAAACATTTCAGGTAAAACAGTGGCACAGAAATCACAGCTTTGAAATTGAGTAAATTTTGTCCTCTGTCTCCTCCTTACAAAGCTTCTCTGCAAGGTAATTATATCTGAGCAAACTACGGAAAGTAATTCTGCAGGAGGAAATAACTGTTTTCATGTGCAAAACAATTAGGTTTCAGCCAGGACAACCAAAAAGAAATCATACAATACCATTTCAGCTGTCCCCAATTCTTTTGCTTTTCTCAAGGTAAGCCACAGCTTCCACTGGGAGCTTCCTGCTAAGGCAGAACTTGAATTTCTTTGCCTTTCAGTTAAATGCTCATATGGAGGTAATTTCTGCTAGAAGTTCACTTTTTAATCAGGTTTTCAGAATGTGCAATGCAAATTCTTGTGCCAGTCAGACACACTGCACCCACTGGACTCTACGGGATTCAAGCTTGATTTTAGACAAACTAACCAGGCACGCCTAACCATCTGCATGTCCTCAGCAAATCAAGCTCATTCTTAATTACACTGTGAATCTCCTATTAAAAAAAAAAAAACCCACAGGTCATTGACCCTATCACAATATGTGTTACAAATCTAGCAGAATATCCTGTGTATCCAAAGCCAAATGCTGAACTTGGCTGCATTTCATTTTATGGGGGATGGCAGAAGAGGGAAGGGCTTATTGTAATAAAGGAGAAAAAGAATTGGAAACCACCAACAAAAGCCCCTGCCCCCACCATCATCCACCAACAGTGGAAGGGAAACAACCCATCTCCAAGTTGTCCAGAGTTCCGGTGCTTCAGACAGCTTAGCAGGAAGTTCACAGCAAGCTTCTTCTAGCTTTTGATTTGGTGGTCCATGAGCTAGCATCTGTTTCCTTTGGTTGCTTTTTCACTCCACAGCAAACCCACATGTCTCTTCCACAGCTGTCAACAGCTTCTCGTAAAGCTTCTCATATGACTCATAAGGCGGAATGTCAATCCGGTTAAAGCTGGAGATAAAATAACAACACATTGTAGATTATGAATCTTACACATTTATTGCAATTAAAAAGAAAAAGAAAAACAACAAAAAAACTAACATACAAACCCTAGATTAGCTACATAAAGATAGAATTTGTAAAATCAACATCAAAGCCTCAGCCCCTTCAATGGCCAAAGGAGGCAACATCAAAGAAATAATTGTACTGCTGCAGCAGGAATCTCTTACTTGGGCTGGGTCTGGGAGGAGGAGATGCAGGAGGCTTGCAAAGAAAGCAAGACACCAGGCAGGCTTGCTCCTTGCTCTGCCTTAAGATAGTCTGTGCTTCTAGTGAAACGATTTCCTTTCCCTGATAGAGTGAGGCTTACATATGAGAGCTCAGTTCTGTAGTAAATAGCATTCTTTTCTTACATTTTACATCTAAAAATCTAGTCGTGAATAAAGATTCATTGCTATGAGTAATTTATCAGTGAATACTTCTGCTGAATACGTGGAAATTAACATCTCACTATTCAGAATAATCAATTAGGGGCAGACAAAAACCACAGATAGTAGAGAAGACATAAATCAAGCAATAACAACTTAAGTCAATTATTTTGCTGGCTGCAGAGTACAGATTTCCAAGCTAGCAGAACACACGTGGATTCATCTAAGCATGGGTTAATCCATAGCCAGGACTGAAATGGCTACTTTTAAGACAAAGCAGAACGTTTCATCTTACCAAGTGTGGGCTTTTGGAAGGTTGTCTGTGTTTGCATCTATTAAATGGATGGTAAACAGTCTGGGTCCTGCAGCGCCTGTAGAACCTTACAAACAGACATTCTAGTTAATGCACTTCAACAAAATAGCATTAGTGCACACATATGTTGCTATTTATAAAAAGGCAAGAGAAAATTACAGTTCCAGATGCAGATACGAGTATGCTATAGGCTAAAGTCTGTGGGTCAGACTTGCAGCTGGCAAAGAGATAACAGAAATGATGGGTCTCCTAATGACAACAAACTTGCAGACTTGTACTCTGGAAAGCAGTTAAACTTCACATAGTTATACTTTCAAAAATGAAAAGGCTCAAAAGTAAGAAGACTTTTCTTGCAAAACAGAACTATATAAACAGAACTGTATTTGAATTCTGAAGATCAGTTTACTGTCAGTTAACAGATGGAATGTTATCAGAAGAACCACAACAGTCTAGGACACTGCTACCTTTTCTGACAACAAGAACTGCAACTTTCAGGAAGTTACTTTAAAGACTGATGGTT